CTGAGCTAAGTAATGCAGCTTTTGAATTTAGAGATTAAACATGTGTTTCTATATGAGGAAAGCATCTTCTAGTTCTGAGAAATCACATGATTTGTCATAGTTCCCTGGGATTGCAATAGAAACACAAATGCAAAGAAGCTGTATGAATTCACAGCAAATGAGAATTAGAGTAGGCACAGTGGACAGAAAGTCATGAGAAGATAAGAAAATTTGAATAATTAATCAATATCACTTACTCTGTAAAAAGTAATTAAATTTGGTTAAGTTATTAAGATCAGGTAATTTTGAGTTTATTCAAGATTTTGCATCTTAAAATACTTAAAACCAATTGAACATCATGCAATTTTTTTTGTAGGACAAGCATATAGACATGCCACCAAGCACACTGCTTTCTAAAATAAGCTCACTTGTTGATTAAAAATTGTGATATAAACAAAATCAGGAATATGTGCATACACACTTTATTGAGACCATTTGGAGGTTGTAATAATTTTACTTGAATTTGCTTATGTATTGGAAAATATACAATCCACTAAGGATTTGGCATCTAGATTTATTTTCCTCTATGTTTTCCCATTGGTTGGTTGGTTTGTAAGTAAAAGTGGAATGCAGGCGGGAAGATTGCCTGCGGTGCCTAGTGTGATTGTGCCATAGACAAATAGATGGACACAACTTACATTGTATCTACAGAACACACGCAAAGAAGACAAGTCAGTGCTGCTTCTGAAAGAACTTTCCTGCTCTACACCATGCCATGCAAAGCCCAGCAGTGATGGTGTTAAAATTAATTATGAGAATGTAGACAAGAGTCATCATGTTGATTTTTTGTTTTATTCATTTTAGATACCAACCACAGTTCCCCTTCCATCCCCTCCTCCTTCCCCCCCACCTTCTCCCCACCTCTCTTCCCTTCCACTCCTCAGAAAGGGTAAGGCCTCCCATAGGGAATCAATAAAGCCTGGCGTATCAATTGATGGGGTTTAAATCAATTATGAGAATGTAGTCTAAGGGTTATCATGTTGATTTTCATCTAAGATATTTTCTCTAACAATCTTGGTCTTGTTGAAATATTTCAATATATAAGGTAGGAAATGTTAAGTATGAGAGAGAAATTCTATCATGGTGCATACACTCGTCATTATCCTCATTGGGGTACAGTTTAAAAATTAAAATCTTGTGTCCTTTAAAAATACTTTACAAAAATTATTTTAACAATTGTATTTCTAACCTGGAAGCAACCATAAATTTATCAATAGTGAAATGGTTTTAAAAAGAAGGACTATAATTGTTACCCAGGAATGAACTTAAACATGTCACTTATATGACTGAACCTCCAATAATATACAATAATATGAATGATTAAATGAGCCTCTAGTTATGCTGATTGGAATAAAATAAAAATTACTAAATATTCCATACATTCCTGAATATCTATCTATCTATCTATCTATCTATCTATCTATCTATCTATCTATCTATCTATCTCTTTAAAATGAAACAAAACAAGCAAACAAAACAAATAGGACAACTAAAATGGAGAATTGGAAAGTACTTGATTGCCATTTGAAAGGTTCTGAACATGGGGTGTGAAGTGGTGCATTTGGTGAAGAATAGTATTAAGGAACCTTATTTTAGTGGGAATTTCCTACTACTCGTTGCATCAAGATTCAAAGAACCCTGGTTCTTTGGTTGGATGTGATTTTGTCCTAATGGACTAATCTGCTGTAATTTAGTCTCAAGTGTGGCAGCATTTGTAGGTAGTGTCACTTGTAAGAGATAAAGCCTATAATGAAGCTGCTCTTCCATCGGAAGTGCTGCCTTCTGAAGAGATTAATGTTTTACCAGAACCCTTCAGTCCTTGCATCAGGACTACTGTCAGAGAGTGAGACAACCTCCTTTTCACTCTGCTTCCTCTCACACCATGCGCTCTCACCTAAATGCCCCATCCATGAGGCCATTTATGCTATGATGTGACATTACCAGGTTGCCAAGAGCATGGGACAAACAGATGAAACTAGGCCATTTGTCCTTCCAAATCAGTGAGCAACTAAAAACTAGTCCTGCATGTCTGATTATGGGGGTTTGGGGAGGTACACTGCTACTGATTTTAATCTGTCTATCTACTATCAACATCCATCTATCTGACTGTCTACATATGTTTATGAAAATGTCTTGTTTCTTACAAACACTTGTGGTTCAACAATTGCTCAATAATTTTCCAAAGCCAAAAGGTAGGGTGTCACTTGGCATGAGCCTTAGAATTTTGACATCAGTGTTCTGTCACCATGACTACTACAGAGACCTCAGACTTCAGTGGTCTACCAATGCTGTGGCCATCTTTGGTGTTTAGTGCCAAGGAAGGAAAAGATAATTTCACATTCATTGAAAGGTTCTCCATTCCAGGCTCTAATGTAAAGGTATTTGTAATAAGTAATTTTGGTTCTCATGAAAAAGGAATGGTGACAGGAAGTATTCTATGTCTGTTTGTCTATCTACCTACCTACTTACCTATCTATCTATCTATCTATCTATCATCTATCTTTTTCTATCAGTCTTCTGTTTATGGTTGTGAAAATCTGTTGTTCCTTATAAAAACTTACAGTTCAAAAATAATATTTCAAGCCAAAAGATGGAAGGAAATGAATGTGTCACTTTGCCAGTTATGGCATGAGCCTTAGAATGTTGACATCAGTGGTCTGTCACCATGACTACTACAGAGACCTCAGACTTCAGTGGTCTACCAATTGCTGTGGCCATCTTTGGTGTTTAGTACCAAGGAAGGCAAAGATAATTTCACATTCATTGAAAGGTTCTCCATTCCAGGCTCTAATGTAAAGGTATTTGTAATAAGTAATTTTGGTTCTCATGATAGAGAAATGGTGTCAGGAAGTATTCTAAGTCTGTTTATCTATCTATCTATCTATCTATCTATCTATCTATCTATCTATCTACCTATCTATCTATCTATCTATATCTATCTATCTTTTTCTATCAGTCTTCTGTTTATGGTTGTGAAAATCTGTTGTTCCTTATAAAAACTTACAGTTCAAAAATAATATTTCAAGCCAAAAGATGGAAGGAAATGAATGTGTCACTTTGCCAGTTATGGCATGAGCCTTAGAATGTTGACATCAGTGGTCTGTCACCACGACTACTACAGAGACCTCAGACTTCAGTGGTTGGTCTACCAACTGCTTGTGGCCATCTTTGGTGTTTAGTGCCAAGGAAGGAAAAGAAAATTTCACGTTCATTGAAAGGCTCTCCATTCCAGGCTCCAATGTAAAGGTATTTTTAATAAGTAGTTTTGAATCTCATGATAGAGTAATGGTATCAAAAAGTATTCTATCTTGATTCCTCCAGGTTGTGTGAGTTAATTCTTAACTCAGCAGCAGCTTCATGAAAAGATACCCATGTTAGCAGTATTCAGTACCAATCCCCTAAATAAATACAGTTATCATGTCAGGGGAGGTATGCTCTATGCTATACAGTAGAATAGTGTCTGTAAATCTGCAAAATTATCTGTCCAGAGATAGTTATTTTCTGCTCCTTCTAATTGTTTTGCCCACTATGACCACAAAGAATTGTTGGAAACAAGCCTATTTCAACCCAAAATATAAGGACTCTCTGGTTTTCAACAAACTGTTGTTTCCAATATGTATTGTGCTCTTTAGAATAATTAATCACTATTTTAACATTGATTCAGATTAGAAAGGAATGACTTTCCAAACATGCCCATTTGCTTTCATATTTGTTTATCATGAAACTGAGTGAGTACTATTTTTAACATATCTTTGAATGTGTGAGGACAACCATTGGTTCTTGTCTCTCTTTGACTCTTTGATTCATGGGGATCTTAATGCTAAATAAAGGCCACGGTGTTTCTGTATATATTCCTTAAAAGATATATGTTTTGGGCAGAGTTATATTCACTTTAGAAAGAGATATTTTGAATATTCAACTGTATGAGCATAACACAGTAAAGAAACCACTGAAATAGCTGCACAATAATTACAGGGAAGAATTTTATTGTAGATAAGAGAGAATGTTTAGAGTCTTCTAGAGAAGTTCAGAGCAGAATTCAAAGAAACAGACTTCATGTGACCAAAATAGTCTGTGGGGGAAAAAAGGGGGATAATAGTGGAGATAGCTGGGATAGGGGAAAATAAGAGTTGTTTGAGAATATTAGGGGAGTTTCCATAGTTAAGAAGGAAATGGGGGTGTTTGTGAAGGGACAGGAAAGTAGGTGGGGCTATGAGATATACAGCAAGTGCTTTTGAATAGAGACACAGAAAAATTGGAGGCAGCATGGGTGTTGATATCCTGAAAGGAGCCAAAGGTCAATGGATAGCCTTATGTCCCTTTTGCCAAAGGCAAGGGAAATGACTCCTTTTGCTGTTCAAGAACCATTTCTCAAATTCTGGATGAATGCTGGTTTTTTTTTTTTTTTTGGTTAGTTTTTGTTTTGTTTTGTTTTCTAACCTCCCGGAAGTCCTTTATAGTCCATCTTGTTCTGGACCAAGACTGGCATTTCTGAATATATGTCCTCTCTGAGACTTAACTAGTTTAAATCTTTAGGAAAATCTGTTTTTTATTTCCTTTACATCTATTTACATTAGCCTTAAAAGGAATGGGTTTAATTATGGCATTTCAACACATAGATTTCTTTCTGATTTTCCGTAGTTTTTCTTTACTACACTCCAATATATCAGTCATTTTAAATCAGGATTACAGAACAGAAATTATCTATAAAGAACTTTACAGTTTGGTAAAGTTTTGTTATCTTAATTAGTACTGTATAAATACACATATCAGTGAAAATATGGTTTCCAGAAGGTACAATCTATTACTGTCACCAAAAATAACTCAACAGAGTCCTGGTGGAAAACTGAGCCTGTATGTTAGTATCATTCACCCTTTGAAATTAGGTATGAAATAACAACTACTGAATACCTGTTCTGTTAGTTGGAGATCTGGACCAGGAGAAACCTTTTTTTCCTACAATGGAAACCCTCGATGAGAATGCCACGGGAGTGATACATCGAACCTTGCTGTGCCAAGGCCCCGTGGAACTCAGAAGAGGCTGGAGAAGGAAGCAACAACATCTCTCCTTGTTCAGTGATGTTTTGGTTGTGTCTAATAACCTGTGAGTATGTGCATCGTGTGTTCCTTACTATGAGAGGCTAGACTTTGATTAGGCCTTTCTGTACAAAACTACAAATGATTTTTATTTCTTTTGGTTTTTGAGATTATAATTACTTTATTATCATTTCCCCCTACCCTTTCTTCCTTTTAAGTCCCCACATATTTCCCTACTTGCTATCTTTTAAAATCATGGCTTCTTTTTTATTAATTGTTGTTACATATATATGTATAATAAAATACATGAATACACATATTTTATATATTTCTAAATGCATAAATATAACCTACTCAGTATGATATTTATGTTTTTTTCAGAGATGTCTATATGTTCTTTGTAGGGGAAGAATATTTCTCTTACTCTCAAAATTTCTTTGTGGCCTATACTTCTTTGTGTAGGGTTTAGGCTTAGTGGTTATTCCCCTGCACAAATTTCTCACACTGTTTTCACAAATGTTTTAGTCATATTATAAAAACATGAATTATTTGACATGCTATTTTGCTGCTTGAGCCTGGGGAAAGAATAGCAACAAATTTGAAAAGGTTGTTTCTGTGGTAGCACATGCCAGCAATTCTAGCACTTTGGAAGCTGACTTATCAGTATTGCATGTTTGTGCATCTTGTGGACTACAGTGTGAGGCATCTTCTCAAAATAAAATAGTAAAAACATGATAATCAGAGGCCCTCTTGCTTGGTATTTATAGAGCTTGTAGAATCAATAGTGGAAATCCCTGACTATGATGGTTGCTCATAAGGGGCCACACATGAGAACCTCTGCGATCTCATAACATCAAAGTAGTGTGAAGAGCTGAGGAGAAGGTACTATCCCTAAAGTAACAAGGAGTAACTGCAGGCATAAAGAATTTTCAGATTGGTGATCCTGTGGATGCTAGAGAGAGGTGCTGTGGTTGAAACCTTGTACATGGTGGTATTGTCACATATACCATGGAGATATTTTCTAGGATCACATATCCAGAGGCCATAATCATAGACTTCATATTATTCTGAAAGGTATGTCAGAGGTACTGACCTCATCAAGTAAATATTTTAAGGGTGTGCTCTCATAAATATGTAAATGGTTAGAGGACAGGCATCAATAAAACAGTTCATTTGGTTTGGGGAGTCAACTTCCTGGTCATCAGTGAATAATATTGCTGAAGATCTACTTCACAAATGGTGAGAGAAATGAAGGGCACAGGAGATAGTTCTGCTTTATAATATAGTCACAACCTAGAGGATCCATTTTCCTTCAACCCTGAAGAATCACTCAAAGTCTCCAGCCTAGATACTGATGGTTAGTGAGTGTCTGACTGCAGCAGGAATGACAAAATGAATTGCCTAGCTGTTTATCACCCTGTCCATCTTTCTTGTCATTTCTCCTCGGCCCCCCCTACAGTCCACAGTTGGAAACCCTCACATTTTGTTTTGAAAAGATAGTTAAAAAATCCATCTGAAATAAATAAATACTGAGAATTTGCCATAAGTGTATTTTGTGAAAGTAAGTGAAATTCACATTTTTGAGAATAAATGAAAGTAAAATGGTTGACTGCCTTAAAAGACAAAATATTTGTTCTCCTTCTGTTGTGTTACAATGGTAATTAAAACTATTTTGAGATTGTCATTTATATTGTGGAAAAAGGATTGTCATTATTATTTACATTTTCACGGCAGATTATCCCTTAACACAAATATCATGTAAAATTGCTTATAAATGTATGTGTGATTAGATGTCTTGAGGGTGAAAAGCAAAAGGAAATAGAGATGTTTCATATATTTGAGACATATGTAAGTGTGTGTGTGTGTGTGTGTGTGTGTGTGTGTGTGTGTGTGTGAATCCCAAAGCAAATATTACATGATATGCCTATGTTTTCACTACAGTATGTTACATTAGATGGGATGGGCAATCTCTCTATGTAGTATCATTTTAGTCTTAAGATGTTTTGGATTTTAGATTTACATGTAGTATTTTTGAATCAAGGTTATACTTGTGATATATTGTTCTGAATCTGAGGGCAGGAGAGTCATTATCATCAATTTGTAGCCACATAATAGCTTACAAGTCTCTAATGAATGGAGAATTCCATGCCCAGGTTCACACAACAAATGCCCTGGGTAAAACACAGTCCATCATAAAAAAAATACAAAAAAGTATGGGTATGGGAAGGAGAGTTGTCACGAGAAGGGAAAGAAGAGTGATAGAAAATAATGAGAACACATTGTATACGTATGTGAAATTATCAAAGAACAAACTTCATACAAAAAGAAGAAAGAAAGAAAGAAAGAAAGAAAGAAAGAAAGAAAGAAATGATCCCAAGATGTTTGTTTCTCAAGAACACTTTTGATATTATCAGAATGCCTGATAGGAAGACATTTCTAATCATTTGACTACGGTACTGGAAAACAGAGTCCTCTGTGTGGTTAGTTGTGTGAGAGCCTCTCATGGGTTTACTAAAGGAGCAGTTGTACTGAGCTCAGACTCTCCTGAGCAATTGCTGACATGACTCATCAGTACAGGGAGAAGGGCAGTAGAATATGAATTTTATTAAGTCAGGCAATATTTCCGTGTGATTTATTTTTAAAAGATCAGTAAACATAATTGTTTAAGTAAAATATAAAACATTTAACTAATTTTCTTGGTGTTGAAGTAAACAAGCAAAAATGTTTAGCACTTAACTAAATGGAGGAGAGAAATATTGAAGCACATGGCTTTCTAAAAATGTCATGTATTTAAAATACACAGTATGGTCATTCTAAACACTTACCAATCAGAAAAAGACCAGTCTCTGACTATCCTTGGCCATATGAACCAAGGTTCAAAAAGGGGTTCAAAAAGTATGAACCCCTTAACTTCCTTCAACACAGCTTTGTTGGAGCGCATCTACCATGGCATGAGCTGTGCCTGGATGATAGAAATGGAAGCATCCTCCTCTGCTCTAGAGCAGGAAGAACTGGGTCTTACCACAAGTAATTCCAATTACAATGAAAAGCAAACTAACAGAGTTACTTGATTCTCTTTCTAGGTGTAAGAGAAAGTTTAACATAAAATATGTCATCCCACTGAGTTTCCTGTGGATGGGTGACTATGTCGACATACTTGGGACAGACAGCAGCTCTGCTGACAAGTCCATTCTCCTGTTCTGGCCCATGGGAAATTTTGTGGCCACCTTTCGGTAAGACCTACACCTTGGTCCTGTGTTCCCAAGAGGCTGGCTGTGGAAATTGTGTATCAACTTAGTGCTGTCTAGTTTGCAGGGAAAAAAAACAAATCAATTAACCAGAATGTGTATAAATTAAGAAACAATTTATTTCAATTGTATACAAGCTGACAAATCAAGGTTTTCCCCTCCCATGATGACCCTAGTTTGTCTGTACGTTCCACCACACACATTTCTTCATTTCAGTAGATTCTTTAGATTTTCATCAGGACCCACAAGATCCTTGGGGTAGAAATGAGATGCTCTCTGTTCTTTGAAAGATATGGACAAGACACAGTCTTACTGCATTCTCCACATTCTTCTTCTTCCCCAAATGACCTGATACTATCTGGGTTTTGAGAGAACAAAAATGATCTCTCTTCTGTGATATTGTGTAGTATAATTAAATTTGACAAATAGCTCCTATACTCCCAAGTTAATTTCCTGAAAAAAATATAGTATTTGATTGTACAGATAAAAATAGTTACTCATTGAAACTCGGATCCTTGCGTGTTTGTGTAGGGGAATATCATTGGTGTCTGTAGTCAACACATGAAACCCAGTGTCATTAGACCATCAAAGTCAGAGTTCCTTTATTGAGTGCAGGTAAATGTCAAATTGCACTCTTATCTTTCATGAGGGGATGGGATAATTATATAACAACATCATCTTGAGTGCAATTGTTGGAGTCACAGGGATTGTGTAGCACACACACACACACACACACACACACACACCTGCTCAGGGCAAGTGTACAGCAGCAATCACATGAAAAATTCATCATATGCAACCCTCCAATTTGCAGCTCCTCATTCCTCTCTCCAAATTTCTAACCCCATCACAGAGTTGACTCAACTAACATAAAACTTGCAAGTTTTAGAAACTTTCCAGGTTCTGTGAGTTTGCTCTTTACCCAAGAAAGGCATTTGCATGGAAATCTTTGAGGGAGAAAATCATGTTTGTGTCATTCTCTTAATACTTTGTTTTCCCTTGTTAATATCCCTGACGATTATGTATAGTTAATGCTTAGTGTTTCTCCACATTGGGTATGAGAGGAAGCACTGTATTTAGGCATGTACAAAGAGTTCATGACAGCATTTCCATTAAACTTTTCTTTTTATGAAGGAGTGAAATTTGGAAGTCATATTCAGACTAGTTCACATTTAATTAAATATGTATCAGGTTTTTTCAATTATGCCTGTCACTAAGTGCCTTTAAAGATTCCTTCTAGGTCACTCTTGTAATTTGGTGAGACTAGATGTGTTGTCTATTACATATGCAGGTTTGGGGAAGGGGGTGTCACAGGCATAATCCACTCTTCTGATGAAACTGGTTTCAGGTAGATTACAAAGCAGGTGAGCTGAACATCAAGGAGCTCTTGGTCCCCAGACTGATACCTGGGATATCAGCATGGGACTGATTCAGACCCCAGGAACATGGGTTTCGGTGAGGAAACCTCGGAAATCTACAGGACCTCCTGTAGTAGTTCAGTACTTGTCCCTAGCATAGGTGTGGACTCTGGGAGCCCATTCCACATAGAGGAATACTCCCTGAGCCAAGACACATGGGGGTGGGCCTAGGCCCTATCCCAAAGGATCTGATAGACTCTGATGACCCCCTATAGAAGGCCTCACCATCCAGTGGGAGCAGAAAGGATATGTGATAGGTAGGGTTTTAGTTGAGGGGGTGGTAGGGGAGGAGGGGAAGGAGAGGAAACTGGGATTGTCATGTAAAACAATCTTGTTTCTAATTCAAATAAAAAATCTGCAAAAAAAAAAAAACCACTAAGTGGGTGAGTAGTTTATGGTACATGAGTGGTGCCAGACTTTAGGCAAAAATCAGTCCATAGTTCCACAGGAAATTACAGAGAATTCCCATGTGACTATGCAGTTCCAAACATGCATATAGGACCATGGCAAATGGGAGAAGGGAAGCCTATGCACGAATGTTCTTCACAGCATGGATCATTACTTTTTTAGAAAGTGAAGCAACTCACATATTAAACTTATGAGTGGAAAAACAATACCTGGCACAAGTTTGTGAGCCAGGGGAAGTAAAAATAGTGAAACTCACAACCAGCCTCCACACTCTAGTGAAGCTCTTATCATATAAGGTTTTCAGTGCAATAAGAGGTCGATCAGACCCTGTCATGTGGAGAATGCTGCCTACACCTGCACCCTCATTGATGACAAGTGACTTCCAATGATTTTATGAGGAATAGTCTTAAGAATCTTTAGCATAAATGTTTCAAGAGTCTAAATTTTTCCACTTTTTACATTACAGTTCCACGGAACAGAAAGATCGGTGGTACTCTTTTCTCCAAAGGTATTTTACTAATATTCATACTTTAATTCTGTAGTGGTATAGGAGTGGCAGTCTGTGCTCCATTTTAAATATATCTATATAAACATATAAATATAAAATCTGATAGACTGTCTCCAAATGTGCTGTTGATTAGATGTTCCCTGGGTACTGCTTTAATTTCTCCTGTTCATATGCATATTTTGTTTAATTTTGAAGACACTCTGCTTCCCATGCTCTTCATCTTCTTCTCTTTAACCTATATATTGGGGTAAGCATTATTCTCCATACTTATTTTAAATTTCCCTCAATACAGATTATCCATGCCCTCTCAAACCACCTGCTGCTTCCTACTTTGAAGTCAAGCAGGTTCCTGCCTGTCCCTTGCAGACAAAACATTTGGAGGATTGGAAATGCTTCCAGAATAAAATCTTAGGTCAATGTGCTATTACCTAAACATGTCTTTGTTTCTGAAATATTTTTGACTATTCCCTAATCTATATGCATGATATTGATAAAATATTAACAATGATTAGCTCAACATAAGCCACTAGCAAATTCATTACTGTATTGTGTGTTTTTATTGTATTTGACAGATCCATTAATGAAGCCACAAAGGGCTACAGGAAGCATTTTAAACTCCCGATATTCACTGAGGACATCCCAAGCTGTGCAAGTGTATGTGAATATAAAACCAAAAATGAAATTCCAAGTTCATGATTAGGAGAGTGACAGGCAGTTTGTAGAGCAACAGAAAATGGGGACATAAGAAGAAGGTGAAGGGGAGAGTGAGTTTGAGAATTTAGACAGTATTTTGTGTAAAAGGTATGTGTATGTCATGCATATATGCCTTTCATATGTGATATGTAGAAAACAACATGAAGCAATATTGATTCAAATTAGCTACAGAGCCAAAAAAGAGATTACTTTTTGGCTAAATGCCTGAAGATTCAGTAAGGTAGCTCCAATAACATACATTTCCAAGCTTATTATTCCTACTGGAATTAATTTTTTCCAGTCTTTATTACTTACACATAGACTTATGTGCTGTTTCTACTATCTAATTGATTTTAAAATATTCTGTTTAATCATGAATAATTCCAATCATAGAATATTATATTAAACCAATTTTAAGTAAAATATTATCAAGAATTTTATTCACTCTCCATACTCACCTGCTTGATCATATTTTACTTTACTCTGCCCCCCTGCTCCTCCTCTTCATCTCTCACTGTGCATCCTCACACCTGCTTTTGAAGAACAGCTACATAACCATGTGAATCTCATAGGCACAAGGATAACCTTTCATGGAACTTCTGTTTAGAATTCACCTTTAGAGACTTAATATTGGTGTGTGTGTGAGAGAGAGGGGGGGGGAGAGAGAGAGGGAGGGAGGGAAAGAGGGAGAGGAGGGATAGGGGGAGGGAAAGGGGGAGAGGAGGGATAGGGGGGAGGAGGAGAGGGAGGGGAGGGAGAGGGAGGAGAGGAGTCGTGTGTGTGTATAGTCCTTAGGATAAATCTCATGAGTTCATACATACTAGGCAATTGTTCTGTCGCTGAGTTACACCCATATCTATTAAAATAATTGTCTCTATTTCTAATTAGTTTTCTAATTCTATTTCTGCTGGATTCACTGAAGATCATCAGTTTAGCTATTATATAGAATGCTGAGAATGGAAAAATCTTTCCTACTTTTTAAACAGAATGGAATCTATCTGAAAGGATCACAACCTTCTGACTTTTATTAATGCTAACGGGTATAAAACACATTTAGAGTCAATATTCTAATGTGTCACTGTTGAAATTGAACTAGAGTAACCAAGATAGTTTACATCTTGCAGCAATTGGTTCTGCATACTAGGTCCACCTTATACAACACAGTACTTAAGGAGAAAAGTGATGCAAAGAAGTAATTTCTAGCCTATAGCATAAATCATGAGAATACTCTAGCTAGCTTTGCTGAACCAGATGTGTCTTTAGGGCAGAGAAGAGCAGAAGGTCCAGTAGGGAAAGATTCTCTTGGCCCTGCTTGCTGGATTTAAGCTGTAGCAAATACTCAATATTGTACAGGAGAAATTTCCCTGATACCTTAAAACACCATGCAAATGAGACCTAATTCTTTTCAAAATAAAGTTATCTACCAATTTGCATCCAAGATTCTGTTTTTCGAGACAGGGTTTCTCTGTGTAGCTTTGGAGCTTGTCCTGGCACTGGCTCTGGAGACCAGGCTGGCCTCAAACTCACAGAGATCCACCTGCCTCTGCCTCCCAAGTGCTGGGATTAAAGGTGTGCGCCACCAACACCCGGCCTGCTTTTATATTTTATCTTGCAATAATTTCTGGTACCCCTTTGTGTAGTGCAGATGATTGGCAATTGATATGTATCAGTTTCTTCGAATGATAATGTGTTTCTCTTTTATCCTAAGAGGTATTCTAAGAACATAGAACATTCTTCTATTTTTTACTACCTAAAAACTATCCATCATTTTTCTCCCTACATGTTTTCTAGTGAGTGATCAACAATGATCCTCCATTCACATTTTTATCCACTTCTTTGATGGTTTTCTTTGATTTTCTATTTGTAATTTGGCCTTTTGAGTTTTAACAATTCTTTGATTCATCTGTGTATTTCATTACACTTTAAATAAACCTGTAATTTTTTCTTTGTACAAATTAAGGAAAAATGTTTAGCTATTCTTACTTTATGACTATTTTGCCTTGTAACTTTCCCTTTAAAATTTTTAGGACTGAACATAGATCCCTCAGATTGTTTATATTTTTAAACACATAGATGCAAATGATTTCTGAAATTATCATTGATAATTTAATATGAGTATATACAACCACTGCTAACTCACCTGCCCTACTCCCAAGATACTCCCCAAATCCCCAATCCCTTCCTACCTTCATGTCTTCTCTCTCTCTTTCTCTCTCTCTCCTATCTACTTGAATCACTCATGTATGAAATATTGACTTTCTTTTACTTAATCTTGTGTAGATAACAATTAACTGAGCTGTCATCATGGGTCAATGGTTATGCCATGACTGGAAGACAGCATTTCACTGTGTGCCTAGTTGATGTTAAATAATATTCTCAAAATTCATACCTGTTAGTGATACCAATTATATTATTTAAACTGATTGCTGTTTTCATTTTGGTTTTGTAGTGTATAATTTCAATATTAACATGCTTTATATTTCTGTGTGAGGCTATAGATCTTAATATTAAACATAATTTTTTACATCATTAGGCATAATTTAAAAAACTTATCATTCCTCATGATCTCAACACTCATTTTTAGAATGTTTTGCTTAAAAGGACTCTCCTTGAAATGTGTCTATTTTATGAAGAAAATCACCATCAGGAAGAAATGTACACATCCCTCCAATTATTATCTAGAGTTTAATATGTTTCAAATGTTTTGAAAATATAGTATCTTACAATGGTATGAATTAAAACATTATTAGCCTATCACACATATTATTTCTGTAAAAAATACTTCATTGTTTTAAAATTATAGAAAAGAGTTTTCACACATTTAACAAAATATCAGAAGCTTTAGGTATTGCTAAGGGTATTTTCTTTCTCCATGTCTCTTCTCTCTCTTCTCTCTCTCTCTCTCTCTCTCTCTCTCTCTCTCTCTCTCTCTCTCTCTCTCTCTCTCTGGTGTTCTAGTGTGTGCATGTGTGTTAAAGTGCCAATGTTGAGTCAAGAAGAAAACTTGCAAGAGTTGGTTGTCTAGTTCCTTCCATCCTGTATGTTTTGTGAGCCCTGAGCTACTTTCTGTTCAGAGATAATTAACGCCACTTTCTGAGAAAAAAAACACATTGGATCCTTCCTAGTTACATTAGTACCACAAAATCAGAGCTCTGCTTTCAGACTTTGAGATGCTTTCCCATAATTCTTAGCCGATGGTTAGTAAGATGTCAAATCAGTGAATGTAAGAGTCTTTGTCCATAAAATTCAATGGACATGCAATGGTAGGAACTGGCATCAATCTTCAGCACACACACATTTTATTTTCTAGGTAATTGGTTATGCCTGGCAGTTAAAGGATGATAAATAAAAATGCCTTCAAAGAGGTGGCTTATGAACTGGTTTCCTTTTTGCTTTGTTTCAGTGTTGCTGTTAAGGGTGGGGAGATGGCACTAGAGCTGTTTTTCTCTTTTAAAAAGAACTGTTTCCTAGAGTCTTACAACCTTCATTGAGGATACATTTGATGTTATAGAATCAGTGTGCATAAAATACATGTACCTACTTATTGTCATATTGACATATTAGAATTCCAATACATCAGTGCTATCAACACATTCCTATCAGTTGGTTTCATGCTGTTTTCCACACACTGTCTTTCTAGGTCTCTGGAGCAGATTCTAGTCATGAGAGACAGCAGAAAGCTAATACTTAAGCACCATGTTTATTCTTAAGAGTATTAAGAGATGGGGTTTCATTTCTAAAATATTCATTTTGGATTCCTAGATCTATCACCTCAACAAATTTCTACTTGAATATTGTCTATTTACAGAGCCTGATATGGAGAAAGTGATCATCCATGTTGGTACTACCAAAAAATTGCAGCCAGTTCTTACCCCGATTTTCCTAGATCTGCACAAAATGCTGTGTTTGAAAATAAGGTTGTTACATGATGGAAGCACAGCTGGGGCAGAAGGAAGGTCCTCACCCCCTACACACACATAAGGAAAGAAAATTCAGAATGCTGAGCTCTAGCACCCTGGCTCCTTAGTCTCCATTTATCATAAAACCTGTGATGTTTGAGTACCCAGTAGCCAATAATTAAATTTAAGATAATCTGTTAGACTGACAGTCTTTCTGGGTTATGTTACATAAAGGGAAGCAAACAAGGTATTTTTCTGCACTAGAATAGTCATTACTGCTTGTAGAGTATAAGTGATGAATAGACAATAACTAATTGTGTAATCACATGCTTTCAAGTTATTTTATACCGTTTTTTCTCTGTAATTTTTATAGCCTTTATATGTAACAACAACAGACTTGGAGACAGTGAATGATGTTATCCAGAAATTACTACCTTTGATAGGAATGCCTGTAAGTTACTTTCAGTCTAATTTGAGTTAAATTTGGCTTTTGTTTTTGAGATCCACAAATATGTATATAAATACATACAGAAGACACTTGGTAATGAGATATACATTTAGTTTCATTAAATGATTAACACTATATTGTAATACATAATTAGGATTATTTGATTGTATGCACACACCAGATTTAAAGACTGTCAACCTTCTCTTTTTTTACTTTTCTTTTTTTTTTTTTTGGTTATATTGTTCTTCCAATTTGGTATATAATTCCTTCTCTCTCATTCATTTTTTTTCTTTTCTGTGTTTGTAGACATGTAGATGTATGTGTTTGGGTATGTCATATTTCTCTCTCTTTTAACCTTTTGTATTTGTGACTGTCTGTTTCTGTTCTTCTTTCTCCCTGAATACATATCTATGTATATCTTTGTCTATTTGTGTCTCTGTGTATTTATGTCCTTTGTGCATAGTGCATATGTTTCTATGTGTGCATATGTGTCCCCCTCTATCACCTTCTGTAAAATTGTATGGTTTCTCCTTGGATCTATGACCCTCTTTCTTTATCTCTCTCCTGTTTGTGTGTATCGGGGGTAGTAATGATGAGTTTGTCTGCTTGAGTGTGTATGTCTGCTAGTTCTAATAATGCCATTGTTTTTGTTCTGGAATCAACAATAAAGTAAAGTTAATGAAAACTCCAGTTAAACCATATTTTCACTTTATCAATTCCTATAGGATACTAAATATTTCAACAGAATTTTTACTTTAGATGTTTTTCTCATAGGGATTTCTTGCACCATGTACAGTAATTATGTTGTTGCACTTGTTTTCACATCTGACCTATTTTCTATGTTAGACACATGTCCTTCCTTTCCACAAGTTGAGCATCTCTAAATGAAAGCCAAAAGTTGTTTTTACTCCTAGGAATCCTCTAAGCTTGTCGCTTTTTTGTCTATTTTACCCAGTGTTGCTGAAGTTACTATATTTTTCAAATGACATTTTGCATAAACCATCATATGCACTGGGGATGTTTGGCTCTCTGGGTACTAGGTTGTTGGGCATTTCAAGTCAAAGTTCAATATTCCACATACAGTGTGGAAAATAGATATAACAGATCTTGGAATAACATTTTTCTTGATAAGTGTTGATGGGTGAATGTAATTTTGTAATCCCATGGTTATTCAGATCATACTGTGGATCAAAAGACCTAGGCTCCATCAGAAAGGGAAGGCAAGTACCCAAGCGTTTTCTCCTGAAATCATCCCAGATGACTCAAACCTGTAGTCAGAAGACACACCATTAACACTGTTCCTAATAATTTTCCTACTAGAGAGCTTGGAATGGTAAAGAAAAGTAGTCTTCAAGAGTGCTCTGTAAAGGATTATGTGTGATGGTTGGTTGTTTCTGTCTCCCAGAGTGCTCAAGACTACCAACTGTGGTTCTGTCATGACCGTGAAAAAGCTCCAGGCCTACTCCAAGGTAAGTAACAGGAAAATCAAAATAGGAGACAACCAAGTTCAGTGTTCTCACACCAAATTCTCAGTGTTTTCATCATTCATTCTTAAAGTTAAATGTGCCTTAAAAAATAATTGAAACATTATTTCATTCCTCTAATTCACAATTACCAACTATTGAATATAACCCAGCTACATGATACCATCTCTTTAGGCAACAGTCTATGGTCTGGTGAAAAAAAAAGGAAATTTCCACTTGAGAAACAGAATTTTCCTAAAAAGACAAAGAAAAGACTTTGGGTGTCTTGTTTCTGAAGAAAAATAATTAAAACTTTTCATTTGTTGAAGATCAAAGACAATCCTAGGGGCTAGAGATATGCCTCGGTGGTTAAGAACACTTGTTGACTTGTTCTTGGAAAGGGCCTGGTTCAATTCCAGACACCCACAGACATCCAGTTTCTCTTTCTTTCTTTCTTTCTTTCTTTCTTTCTTTCTTTCTTTCTTTCTTTCTTTCAAGATTTATTTATTTATTATGTGTACAGTGTTCTGCCTGCATGTTGCCTGCAGGCCAGAGGAGGGCACCAGATCTCATTGCAGATGGTTGGGAGCCACCATGTGGTTGCTGGGAATTGAACTCAGGACCATTTGGAAGAACAAGCAGTGCTCTTAACCATTGAGCCATTTCTCCAGCCCCAGACGTCCAGTTTCAGGGGATCTGATTCCCTCTTCTGATCTACTCAGGCACCAGGCACAACATGGTGCACAGATATACACAAGAGCAAAAAGCACTTACATACATAAGTATCAAATAAAATTTAAATATTTTTAAAGAATAGCCTTTTTGTTCCAAACTATGTAGCTTCTGTTTTTGGAATAAAAAATGAGAAGTCTAGCCATTTTTCTAAACCCATGTAAATATAGTCAGCTCACAGCTCACATCCCTCTATGATCAGTGTTCTCCCCCACTGAATGAGAGATACTCACGTTCAGACTTCTGGAGCCTTTTTGACTGAATCGTCTCCTATTCCTTATGTTTCATTCTTGTCTGGAATTTTTCACAAGGATATGGACACATAAGCAATAGTAATAAAAGATTTACCATAAGCATTTGGATAAGAATTAAAAATCTGAGATTACCAAGTGTTCTCATGATGCTGACCTTTCAAGAGCTACTGAAAAAGTGACCCTCAGACAAGTAAAAATGAAGATGTCTGTTGGAGATAAAAGGGTATTTATTTGTTCAAGCCTTTCTCATGTATCCTGAGAACAATCTGTGGAGACACTCTTACTTATTCAAAGCAAGCTAAAATCAACTATTTTTTCAACATTTATTTTCAGGGTTTTAGTACATTGGGCAATATCAGGGACATAATCCATCCACACATTGGATTTTTTTTCTTTATGGTAAATGGTATTGATAATGGGCCCAGGCAGGTAAGGGACTTCTGATCCACACTGTCACAATCAAATGAGTGCTGGGAATAGAGCACTGAATGCCAAAAATGAGCCATTGTCTTTTTTATTTCTATAACATGACACAATTGCAATTCCCAGTCAGTGATAAGACATATGTAGGTGTGGGGCATATTCTAAAATAAATTTAATTAGTGAAATGTATTAACTTGATATTTTAATTCTAGTGTTTTAATTCTAGAGCTTTGTACATCATGAATGCTTCAGAAGTCCCAAACTTTACAATCCTGTTGATTTCTCAGCATTCATTTTGAATGTGTATTTCAACCCACAGGCCATACTCAAGTAAGTACACTCATGCTTAGATTGTTCCATATTGATCCCTTGGAAGCTTCTGGTCTACTAATTTAATTGTTACTGGAACTCTTGATCTGATTGTAGCACTGACATTGTATCTGTGTCAGAAGGAATGGCAAAACAAGAGCTTAATCCCATTGTGGTTAATCAGAACTGGACAAGGGTGAAGTTTCACTCTTCCCAGAAAATTATATACACACCACAGCATAGACTCGTTAAGATGCCATTAGAGGGGAGCTAGAGAGATGGCTCAGAGGTTAAGAGCACTGGCTGCTCTTCCAGAGGTCCTGAGTTCAATTCCCAGCAACCACATGGTGGCTCATAACCATCCATAATGAGATCTGGTGCCCTCTTCTGGTGTGCAAAAGAAATGCAGAATGTTGTATACATAATAAATAAAAAAAAGATGCCATTAGAGAAGAAAAAATGTAAACCATGGGAGAGCAAATTGAATGTCTAGATGTTGATTCCAATTTTGTAGTTACATGGAGTTCTAGCCTGCAGTCACCAATTGCCAGAATACAGTCCAAGAATGGAGTCTTGTGAGGAGAATTCAGAGCACTTGTGAGAGAACTCCAAGAAATCAAGACAAAGGTTTCCTCAAAAACACGGAAATGTTCTTGCAATGGGTTTCTCTGCCCTTCCCAGGTGTAGCAGATAGGAGTGAGTTTACTTCGGCTGCTGATATTCATATGTCTGTATGAAAAAAAAAATTGCCACATGGAGTTTGTCCCCTTGATTGTACACTTTACTCAAGTGACTCTTCTTAACCCTCAGAGTATAAATTGTCTGATGTTCTCAGTAAAGTTGGCCAATGCATGAGACTTCAGTTGGCCTCATTTTGAGGCCCCACTCTCCTAGGTTCATGTCACCCTAGAGTGGTAATCAACTATGCATCAACCTGACCATTGTCAGGGAGAACAAGAATGGGAGGAAGCAGGAGCCAATCCATTCCAGTGCTTCTGAGAACCATGTCCTCACACCGTGAGTGGAAATGGAGTCTTTTAAATGTGATAGACAACATGAGAGAGAAAAATATTGAACAGAGCAGTGCATGACATGGTTTACAGAATTCTTTAAAGACTACCAAACCCCAAACCATATAAACATATTTCCTTTTGTTATAGGAAACAATTATGGAATGTGAAATATTTAAGTAGATAATGATAACCTAGACAAATTAAGTAAGATTCTAATGATGTAAAATTCTTGATACCAAGGCAGGAACCAGCAGGACTTAAAACTTACAGGGGAGCACAGCAAAAGCCCACCTCAAACAGTGCACTGATGGGCCTATGTTCTTCAGACAAAGTGACATGTTAATAGTTTTCTTCTCTGTTTTTAGAGTTCTCAGCTTACACATCCTTACATCATCAGAGTATCCCAGAGAGGTTCCTGATGTTCCAGGGTTTGCAGTCTCCTTTGACCAGAGCACAAGGAGAAATACAATATATCAGTGTGTACTAAAGCACATTGGCAGGCTTACTCACTGTCATTACATCAGTTTCAACTCCTATTCTTATTTTCTTCTCATAGAGCATGAGCATCTCTATGACATTATAATGAGGAACATTAAAAATCCCTTCAGTCAATGGGCATCAAGAAATCACACAGCTTTTCCTGCCCTGCCTGGGCTGTATGTGGAACAACCAGATATACAGGGGCGATTCATCCTGAAGCCCAGAGAACCAGCAAGAATCCAGAAGCAGAACAGTGAGTCCCTGACCTTCCTTCAAGTGGCCTTGCTCAGTCCCAATTTCTATTCTGTATAAAACATCAATGCATAGTGTCATTTCTTGCTTGGGAAGGGGACACTGTAGAGAACAAAAAACAAAACAAAACAATATGCTCCAGGTCATGCTTAAGAGAACTCTACATGTGGCAAACTCAGCTTGTCTGTAGGGAGAACATTTTATTCTTCCAGGCAGATGGTCACCAAAGGTGGTATACCAAGGCACTGCCTATACACAATCATATGTGTACACATCTTTGGTCCCATTGAAATATGATTTCTAAGACCTGAGTCCTCATATGTTCCCCATCATGTGGTTTTATGATCAGAACAGAAAATGGCCTGATACTTGTTAATCAAATTCCTTGGTTCTTCTTCCATAGAGCCACCACAGGGCCATCCATGATATGATGTGATCATTGTCCAGGCATTGATGGCAACCAACATTTTTCAATTATAGTAGCCATCCAAATATGTTTGCTATAGGTTTCTATGTGGTAAAGAAAGAAAGAAAAGAAAAGAAAGAAAGAAAGAAAAGAAGGAAGGAAGGACGGAAGGCAGGAAGGAAAGAAGGAAGGAAGGAAGGAAGGAAGCAAGGAAGGAAGGAAGGAAGGAAGGAAGGAAGGAAGGAAGGAAGGAAGGAAATGGCCTGATAACTGCACTTAGACAAACATGTAATGAAGCTATATAGAAAAGTTGTATATATGGAATTGAAGATAATCTGTTCCAGGCTTGAGGAGAAATGGCCTTAGGCTTCTAGCCCAGTCTCTAATCTCTTTATAATTCACAAAACAACTGTGTTTTATGTGTGTCTTTAGTCCTGAGTCTAGACTAGAAATGGACCTGGTATTGATGTACTGGGGCCTTGGAATTTATTTAAACATTTATTCAAATTATATATACTTCTATTATTTTCACCTTTCCTCTACTTTCTCCAAATATTCCATGAACCCCCTTGATTGTCTTCAAATTCTTTTGTTTTAAAAGAAATTACTACATATGTACATGTGCACATGGACACTCTCACTCACTCACTCACTCACTCTGTTTGATATTGGCCATCCAAACAGCATATTGTATGCTGAGAAAGACTGTTTATTTTGTATTTTGTTATGTGACTCCTTTGTTTACTTTTAATATATTTGTTTTAAGTAACTTAATTAAGATTCCATTATGATCCAAGATACTAAAGGCAATCTCAGAAGAGAAAAAGGAACTTTGATCTCAGCTGTGAACTAACACTATAGGGGCAAGGGTCTATCCAGAGTCTGGCTGACAAATGTAGTCATGTACACTTTCTTATGAGGGCATTTGCTGATAATAAAAAAAAATTAACAGTGGTTCTTCAGAAAGGTCAGTAAGAAAGCTAAGAATAGGAAGAGACACACTAGGACATTTGAAGACAATAGAACACTGCTGGATCTGAATACCAATGAGGGTGGCAATGAGAAGGAATATGACCACTGTATGGCTCAGTGAAGAGATGTCTGACTGTACATAACTCAGGAAGAATATTCAGCTGGTACCATGATGTTATGTGGGGTTAGACAGCATGTGTTGTGAGAATTCCCAATAGAGAACAATCAGATCATGTCTCTAAGATTAAAAAGAGTATACAAAAGAGGGAAGAAGAATATATATATATATATATATATATATATATATATATATAGAGAAGAATTGGGGAATTTTACATTACAAATGATTACCTCTTTGTATGCATTACAACAAATACATTATGCGATTGGATATCTATGACAAAGGTTGCACAAATGAAACTATATATATATATATATATATATATATATATATATACATATATATATATAGAATGTGGGGAATTTTACATTACAAATGATTACCTCTTTGTATGCATTACAACAAATACATTATGCGATTGGATATCTATGACAAAGGTTGCACAAATGAAACTACTCCGTATAATGATCTCATCTCCTCTTTAGATACAGAGGAACCAAGAATTAAGAAACAATGGCCTTTCATATCTTGGTTGTTCCAAAGGAGCTCTGTACCCTACCAGAACCAAATGTGCACAGCCCCACCAGTTGCCAAAACAGGAAAACTCTTCGGACATGATCTGACTGCCATTTGTGAAGATGGCAATCTGCCCACAGCAATTCTGGTAGGTCTCACATGGTTCTTCTCTGGCTGTCCTAAGGACAAAATCCTTCTTCTCCTAAGTACCCCCTTTTGAGTCTATCATCAAGTGGAGAAACAAGTGTTCATCATACATTGGCTTAAGAATAGGAAGGTAGGAGAGGGCTAGTCACCAGAAACCCTGTTTTGGAAAAGTTGTATTAAATCACTTTACTGTAGTAGAAATCTGAGAGAAATAAATGTTGCCCAAGGTTTCAGGGTTGACATTAGGGTGGGATGGGTACCACAGATGACAGAAGCACAAATCCAGTACAAAGTCCTCTTCACCATGCCAGTCTTGTTTTGCACCTGTGCACACCATTGACCTGGTTCTCAAGAAGCAAATCGTGCTCTGTGCTTCGGATAGAGTGACAGATGCTTCCCTTTCTTCTCTCAGGACATACTATCCTTTATTAGTGAAAAAGGGCCAATCACTGAAGGTATCTTCAGAACATCAGGCGATATAAGAGCATTCCGAGCCCTAAAAGAAAGATTGGATTCTGGGATTGAAGTGAACCTGAACAATGAAAGTGTCCCTGTTGTGGCATCTATCTTAAAGGTAGGGCGAGTCCTTGTATCCTCTACAATCAGGATTCCTCTGAATCTGTGTGAGCAGGTCCTTCATCATGTTTACTCTTGAAGGATAGTAGACAGGAATGATAGTCATCTCATAAGCCAAAAGTTTCCTCTCATGCTCCCACTAAGGATTCAATCATAAACCTGTCACAATGAACAGTAATGTAACTAAGCATCTTTAATTTCATTCCTCCATCTTCCTCAAGCAACACGTTTCAAAATAATAACTGATTTTTTAAACCAGTTCTCGCTATTCTGTCACTTTCTCTGTTTTTTTTTTTTGTTTGTTTGTTTGTTTTTTCTGAGAGGCAGGTTTTTCCTCCTTAGTAAGAGCATGTATCTCCTCCACATATAATTTCACTACACAGCCAATGAGATCCCATGACCCTCCTGTCTCCCTCTCATGCAATGTTGGAATCCAAATGCAGGTCCTCATGGCTTTGATGCAGGCATTCTTCATCACTGAGCCATCTCTTCGGTCCCATAAAATTACATTTATATGTTACTATTAAAATTAAAATTACACTTCTCGCGCCTTCACCGAACTCGCGACCACGATGCTGGTGCTGCGCCATTGCCCCGCCTGCTGGGCCTGCTCTCTAGCAGACACCTCTGCTCCTCTCCGCGACCCCAGACAGACGAGCACGGGACCTGAGCTACTCCTCCCGAACCCGCTCGTGTGGACTTGGGCGCTGACCGGCAGCCGCTCGGCTGCGTGGTGCTGGAGCTAAAGGCAGATGTTGTGCCAAAGACAGCAGAGAACTTCAGAGCCCTGTGCACTAGTGAGAAGGGCTTCGGCTACAAAGGCTCCACCTTCCACAGGGTGATCCCATCCTTCATGTGCCAGGCTGGCGACTTCACCAACCACAATGGCACAGGAGGGAAGTCCATCTACAGAAGCCACTTTCCTGATGAGAACTTCACACTGAAGCACGTGGGACCAGGTGTCCTGTCCGTGGGGAAGACAGGCCTCAACACCAATGGCTCTCAGTTCTTTATCTGCACAGTAAACATGGACTGGCTGGATGGCAAGCTTGTTGTGTTCGGCCAAGTCAAAGAGGGCATGGATGTTGTGAAGAAAATAGAATCTTTCGGCTCAAAAAGTGGGAAGACATCTAAGAAGATTGTCATTATTGACTGTGGCCAGTTGAGCTACGTGCTAGCCAAGGTGCTAGGAGAGTAGCAGCCACCCAAGTTCTCTGAGCACAGGTGCCCCAAAGAACTGTTTGTGCCCATGTCCCCTACTGAGTATGAAGAAGGCTACTTAGGCACATGGTCCTTCACAGGACCACAATGCTCTCAACTGTCCATCCTTCCTCAGATCCTGTTTCTGGGCTTTGGTGTGGCAATTGGGCAATGAACCCTCTCAGCAAGTGTCCCCATGATTGCCATTCTTGTGTGCCTTGGACATTGGCATCGATGACCATTTAGCATCCAGGGAAGGGTCCTGACTTTTTCCTTGAGCAGTGGGGGCAGCAGTTGCTATTTAGTATTGACTTCCTCACTGCAATAATTTAATACGATTTCATAGAAAGCAAACTGTGACACTAACTGCACTGTACTCTGTGACCTGAGTTGGCACAAGCCACAACCCCCTGAGCCTGGCTTCTGAGAAGCAACTCCGGGCTCTTGTGAAAGTTCCAAGATCAATGCCTTTCCTCATGGTGACTGTGAATCCTGCTGGTTGGCTGCTGTGACTTTTGAAGGGAGCCTGTGGGAAAGAAGCTGATGGGCCTGGGGGCAGACCTGTGTGCTGTGGCTGTCTGTTCAATGTGAATTCCTGTGTTGGAAACTGCCTGTGTGCATACTGTCCTCAGGAGGAATGTGTTTCCTGGCTGGCTTTGTTTTTCTGTATGTCAAATAAATCCAATCTTTCAATGATAACATATGTAAAATATTTCTGGAATAGTCCTTTCTGTTCATTTCAAATGTGATAATAAATCCTATTTTCTATAAAAATTAATAAAATTAAAATTACATCATTTCATTCCTTCCCTTTCCTTGCTCTAAGTCCTCTTATATTTCCCATCAACTAACCACTTCCTCTCAAATACTTGTCCCATTTTTGTTACTATTACATATATATGCATATATATACATATGTATATGTATATATATACATATACATATACACATAAATATGTTAAAACAACCCGATGAGTCCAATTCTGGTTGCTAATAGATCCACTATTTCTGAGCTAATCAATTGGTATTGGATTACCAATTAAGATGTTCATCTTTGGGAAACACTAATTTTCTCTCTCTCAGTAGTATTTATGTGCCTGTAGTTCTACATCTGGATGTTTGGCTCCATGAGATTTCCCCATTTCAAGTTAGTGTCACCATGGATGATATTTTTGTTCGGGTGTTGTTTATGCAGTCACATTGTTGTACTATTGTGAGAGACACCTCCCCCTCATTTCTAGGAAACTCAATCTCAAAGCAAATTTCCTGGTTCTCTGGCTTACAATCTGACTCTCTTAACAATGGTCCCTGACTCCAAAGTTCAGGAATTTTGGTGTATATGTACCCATTGGGCTAGGAACCACAGGATCTTTTATTCTCTGTGTTTGAACAGTTGTGGTTACCTGTAATAGTCTCCATCTCATTACAAAGAGAAACTACTTTGATGGGTGGGTAAGAGCTACACTATCTGCATTCATATAAATATTTAGAATACATTCTGTAAATATTCTTGTTTAGTGCAATGGTGACAAGAGCTTCTCTAAGAGCCATGACCCAGCTATCCCTGGATAGCTGTAAGGTTTCCAGTACCAGGCATGATTTCTCTGCTGCCAAGAAATCAGATAATAACTTACCATGCTAGTCACTGTTGTGGTTCATAGGGACAGCAGTGTAGGATTAATTAGTGTTTCATGTCCTCCTGCTCCCTCCCTCCTCAATTTTCCATCGAGCTGTGTATGTATGTGCAGTAGCTCAACCCCAATTTTCCTTGGCATACTTTGACTCAGGAACCTTCCGAGGATAACCATGTTCTGAGAAACATACATGTTCAGTGACAGCAGGCCAAGATGATATTGTCCTCTCCCAGACTATATGTACCAGGCACAGTGTTTTCTGTTTCCAAGCATTGAGACCCATTTGTAAAAAATATGTTGAACAATGCAAACTACCAAGGCGGTTTTTGTTTATTATATACTAACGATATAAGGAGATGGAAAGTAGTTCAGTTTCTTCACTCAACTCATGCCTGGTACATGTGCCAGCTCTAAAACTAAGATTATTGATAACTGAATAACTACTGAAGTGTAATGATTAAAGTTAGCTTGATGCATTTCTTGAAAGTTAAATCCTTGAGATCACTACAAACAGCATGTGTCTGGAAGCTGTCAAGGTGATTAGAAATCTTCTTTTTTTTAAATAACTAACAAGGAATTATGCAGTTTGTTGTCTTGCCCAGGTTAATCTCTAACTTGAGGTTTATGTTTTCCTCTCCTGAGTTCTGAGACTAGAGGTGCATACCACTATGCTTTCCATGTATTATGGAGTATCACATGCCCAGTTTGTGATATTTATTTAACAGTCATTATATATACAAAGACACACATTCCATTTCCCCTATCACTTACAGGATGTTACTAGAAGCATTTTCTCTCAGGGAACACCGCAAAGGAAAGAAAGTCCAGGCTCACTCAGCCTTTGCTTTAATTACATGGGACCATTCAATTAGACCACATGTTTCAGAGCCATTGGGGTGAGAAGTAAAAAGCCCTTGATTGTGAAGAAATTATCATAATGTGTATGTTTGTCATTTAAAAATGGAATTTGATACTGGGCAGTGGTGGTGCTTGCCTTTAATCCCAGCACTCTAGATGCAGAGGCAAGCAGATGTGGGTCTTCATGTCAGACAAGGTTCCAAGTAGGGGACAGGTTAGTAATTATGAACAAAGTTGGAATTAAAGTAAATTTTACTTTTGAAAGTGTTTTGAGTAATTTCTGTGACTTATATTTTCCACATATTTTTTTCTATGTATGTAAGGAGTTTCTTCAAAATATAGAAGGAAGTGTGCTGACTTCTAGACTATACGATGAATGGCTTGCTGTCCTTGACCAAGTGTGTGAGGAGGAGAAAGCAGCTGCAGTGCAGAGGTAATGATTCACTAATGGCCTGAACAACATTAACAAAATAGAAGCAGTGTTTGCTTAGACACATTAGATTATATGCCACAGAAGTAGTTACTAAAAATATTGACTGACAACAAAAGGTTTCAATTGTTCACAAACAGAGAAGACATTTTGAAAGGAGAAGTATGACTTGGGGAGTCACAGTGGCCCATGCTTGTAATCCCAGCATTAATACGTGTGTGTGTGTGTGTGTGTGTGTGTGTGTGTGTGTGTGTGTGTGTGTGTGTGTGTTCACCAATTAAATTTTTATATCTCTTCTGACTTTGGGATGATATTTCAAGCAATATTTATAGGACACATTCCTCTTTTCATTTTATTCTCAGAGCACCATGATTAAGATACAGACAATTCTCTGTTCCCTTTATATTTACAATTTCATGAGTGAAATTTATTGTTTTAAAATAACGTGTCCCTGTCTTCAGACTTTTAGAGCAACTACCCCAACCAAATGTCATTCTTTTGAAACAACTTTTTGGAATATTATACAAAATTGAGAGAAACTCTGAAGTCAACCATATGACATCTTCTAATCTAGCTGTTTGCATCGCCCTGAGTATTCTATGCCTGCCTAGTTCCTGCAACTCAGGATTCCCAGATGTTTCCAAAAAGGTAATGAGACAAATATTTTATGACTAGGGTAAACAAGCATTGACCATGATACAGGAGTACAGGACTATTCTGAGAGTCTGTTTTTGTTTGCTATTTTTTCTAATAAGTTCACCCTTGATTTTCATTCTTCAAGAAGGTAAGAACCATTTGTGCATTTTGAGTAAGTAGAATTTAAATAGTTATTTGTGCTCACTGGCTCAATCCTTTGTCAGTTTTTGAGACAGGATTTCTCTATGTAGCTTTGGAGCCTATCCTGGCACTCACTCTGGAGACCAGGCTGGCTTCCAACTCACAGAGATCTGCCTGCCTCTGCCTCCAGAGTGCTGGGATTAAAAGCGTGCGCCACCAACACCTGGCATGATTTATATATTTTTAAACTAACACAGTGAGAGTAAATGTTGTCAAATGATTAGAAATCATGGATGCTGGGTTCAGAAATTACGACTGAATCCTGATGTCATCACTGAGGGATGTGTGAATTTCTACTTGTTTTCAAGGAGGTTTCCCAACTAAACAAAGGCAGTATGGGAAGCCCTTATCAGATATGGTTGGTCTGAGGCCTGCTTAGTGTGACTAAAGATATCTTTGGCCTCCTGTTGCTGAATATTCAGTATTGGGATCAAATGGTTGTTTTAACTCTCAGTATTTGAGTTTCTGATTTAGTTTTGATTGAGCAATTGCTCTTGGGCCTGCAAGAAGTACATTGCAGGAAGGCCTGACTGTTGGTTGCTTTTACTCTTTCCTCCTTTACTCCTTATTCTTTGAGCTTTTGGGGGCCTCCACCCAACTCCCAAATAAACCCACAAGGAGTCTTATTCTTTCTTATGGATGCCGGGCCTTGGCATGGCTTCTTTATAACCAGCTTTCCTTAACTGAAATTACCCAGTCTACCTTTTGCCTCTGGACTTTTAACTTTCCCTATATACCTTTCTTTATTTCTTCCTCCATGACTTGCTGTGTAGCTGGGTGGCTGGACCCTGGAGTCCTTCTCCCAGATTTCTCCTCCTATTTATTATCTCTGCCCCCAGCCCTACCTATCCCTTCTCCTGCCTTGCTACTGGTCATTCATCTCTTTATTAGACCAATCAGGTGTTTCCAACAGGGAAAGAAACACAGCTTCACCGAATTAAACACATGCAATATGAAGGAATGCAACACATCTTTGAATTATTAAACAAATATTCCACAGCATAAACAGATGCAACACATCTTAAAATAATATTCTAAAACACCTGACTCAGATCACCTTTTTCTCATATTGTGTAGCATCAACAAACAGAAGATAAAGGCAGGGATCCAAACAACCTGCCATTGCATCTCCACAACTATCCAATTCCCTCTAAATTGGCCTTACTTCAAAATCTCCCAACATAATGAACAAGTGGGTCTAGTTCTTAACATTGCATCTGCACTGAGCAATCATAGACACGTGGATGCTGCTGCTCAGTTGGCTTTACCTATCATTCAGGGGTAGCCTTCCCTCCTTAACTCTGCCTTTCTGTAAGCATCCTAACATACATGCTTGTGCATATCTGTCACAAATGGAATGAAAGTTAGTCAAGTAAACAATATATACCAGCCATCACCATGGGAACGCTGGAAATCATACTCTTCTATAGTATTGCATATGATGACCACATTTTAACATGTGATCTCAAAAATCTGCTTTCAAATGTCTAGAAAAACAGAAAACACCCCACTAATTTATACATGCTGACATTTTCTCAGAATTTTGAACTGCATACTTTTAGCTCAACTCATATATCAAATACAATTTACAACCATTTAAAATGACGGAGACCCTTTGTGTTTACCTCGTTTTTCCACAGATTTGTCTTGTTAGTTTCCTTATTGAGAATTATCCAAAAATATTTGGAGAAGACAGTCCATTTCATGATGAGAGCTCATTTGTTTGCTCTGATGGGGAAAAGTCTTACAATTCCCTGAACACTGTAACAGACAACGTTGAGATGGAGGTAAAAGAACATGAAGACAACACCTGTCCCAGTGGGAGCACATGCCCCACAGGCAATGATGCAGTGTCCAGAAGTCCATCTGCTCCTCTTCACAATGAAGGAATTATAGGTAAGCACAGATATTCCATTATCATAACTTAAATGTTAGAATCATTTAGTACCCCAAAACATCATTTACAATGAGTAGTGATGGGAGTTTACTAAAACCATTGTGCAGTGAAAACTTCACCTATATGTTATAGATGTTTTCCTGTTGTTAGAAACTGACTGCAAATTTTCATTCCTTCTTCATAGTGGTCCCGAATTTATGTAGGAGGTAAGTTGTCCAAGTTCCAAGCACACGGTTCAAAGAAAATACGTGGAAAAATGTTACATTAGTATCTTGACTCCTGAATTGATTTTTACAATACTGAGAATAGCCACTCAATTTTTTCCAACCAGGGTTTTCTCCATGTAACAGCCCTAGCCATCTTGGAACTCACTTTGTAGACTAGGATATCCTCAGAGAGATCCTGTGACTGTGCATACTGAGAACTGGGATTAAAGGTGTGCACCACCATCCCTGTCTCTTTTGCAAGTTTTAATATAGTATAATTCACCCATAGGTGAGAAATAGACACAGCTAAAGGCTGTCGAAATGCAGTTAGACAGGATATGTGATGAATTGCAGGTATTGCTGTTAAATGAGAGTTGCCTTAACAGCCCCAGGGCTGTTCAGTCAAGAAATCACACAGGAGGACTCAGAGATTGTGTACTGTATCACTGTTCAATTCTCATACCTATATGCATAGCTTTCAAGACAAGCACCAGAATATACCGATTATAGCTAGATAATATGGGCCATAGAGAACTAGATATCAAGTTCCTCATGATGCAATGTCATTGTTATCAATGTTGTAATATTTGTTATTTTCTGTATATTATGGTGATGCAGAAAGTATGAAATGAATGAAATGAAAGTGCATGCAAGGATTAAAGTGAGTCCAATTACAAAATACGGTGATTTCCCTTCCTTTTCAGATTCTGAGGAAGATGTGAAAACATCTTTTATAAATCCAACGATTACACAGGACCCTGATACCAGCCAAGACAACATGTGCTTAACCCCACCAGAACCAAATGAGGAGCACCCCATTGAAAATACTCACACCCCACCAGCAGCAAATGAGGCAAACCTCAGCAACTCTGACACTCCACCAGCAGCAAAGAGCAAAATCGTCTTTGGAAATACTCACACACCACCAGCACCAAACAAGGAAAACCTGTAATTTGACTTTACCTGTGGCCACCACCTGGTCCCAAATACCGGCAACTACTTCCCAAATTACCACAGAGACTTATATTAATTGTAAATGCTTGGCTGATAGCTCAGGCTTGTTATTAACTAGCTCTTACATTTAAATTAACCCATTTCTATTAATATATGTGTTGCCATGTGGCTCATGGCTTTACCTGTCCTCTAGCATGTCTTGCTTCTGGGACATCTGGCTGCCATCTCTCATGATTCCACCCTCCTCCTTATTCTCAGTTGGCTTTCTCACCTAACTTCCTGTCCAGCATGCCAACTTTTTACTAACCCATGAGAGTAATACATATTAATAGCTTAAAAAAGGGTTGTTCCAAAGTACTGCCCCTTTATATCTAATTTAAAAGGAACGTTTTAACCTTAATACATTAAAACTAGATACAGCAAAAATAGTTTTCAAGTAAGAGTTACAGTAACAATATCCAATCCATTTGCATTTGGCAAATTAGACAAAATAGTTAATTATCTCATCTTGGTGAGTCTAAAATTTTGTATCTAATTTACTTTGTATTATAACTAAGGAAAACAATAATTATAACTAGTTAGTCTTCAGCTCCATGAAAGACCCTAAAGTAGGAAATGTTATCCAAACACAGGGACATCAGGCTACCTGGACAGTCATCCAAAGTTCCTCTGTAACTTTGGGACATCCAATTCTAGCCTATAGGCCTAGCATGTCTGACAGACTTTCCTAAGAAGTAGGCATCATTGAAGAACTGTCTGTCTAGCTTGTCTTGGCAAAGTTTGTCAGTCCTGCAAACTTTCTTGTGTCCCTGCAGGTCCAGTTTGGGCAGTAACTGTCGGCAATTGAGGCGAGGCCAGTTTCTTTGGCTACATGACTATCTTTTGCCTTAAAGACAACAAACGCCATATAGAGTTTCCTCAGTGTCCATCACTGTCTTTGAAGTAATTTGTGCTGCCAGAAGCAGAACTTTTCAAGAAAAGTTCTTAAAACATTTTAAATGGCATATTCTGTAGGTCTTTGAAATGTGCGAAGATTGCCTATCTCTCTGAAATATATCTGCGTATGACCTTGGAAACCTAACTAAATGACTATAAGTTTGCTCTTACATATTACTATTATTCTGTATTTCTTAATTATATATTACATTTTAAATGAGCTGCATAAATAATACCCTAATCAAGAGTAGAAATAAACATACAGTATAACAAAATTTGTATCAATAAACCAAAATCCATACTAATGTAAAATATGTATGATTAATTTTGGGGGGATATAGTAGATTCAGTAATCGACCCTCTTATCTTATCATGTTCATATTCTCCCTCCTTTTAAGAATAATATCCCTGAGAAGAAAGGACATATGATAGGTAGGATTTTAGTTGTGGGGTGTGGTAGAGGAAGAAGGGAGGGAGAAGGGAACTGGGATTGTCATGTAATTCAATCTTGTTTGTGATTCAAATATATAAAAAATAAAAAAATAGAAAAAAAAGAATAATATCCCTGAACTAATCTCCTTTGCTTAGATATTTTTCTGACAATTATCCATAACAACTTGTAACCAACCCCCCTAAATGATGACAAACATTCACAATTTATTTTGGAGAATGTGGGGATAGACTACTTCCTGCTGATTGGAGGGGCTGGTAATCTTTGGGTGACCCTGATAAAATTTAGGATTATGATCAAATCCTGACTGAATTAGTGTGTGAGGTTGGATCATCTCAGCCACCAGACTTGAAGCTTTTCTGGATGCAGAACTCAGAGGAAACTGCAAACAAGGTGCTCTGAAATGCTGGCTCATATGGGCCATCCACTCCCATCACAGATTTTTCAGGGCTTCTTCCTTGACCAAACCTGATTTTTCTTAAGGCGGAACAAATCCACAGCCTCTCATTTCCTGTGAAAACAAGATTATAACTTCTTTCTCAAAGTGACATCTTTTGACTGAAATCTTGAAGTCAAGATAAATTTAAAATATACAGGTTTGTTTAATACAGCAATTTCATAATTCAAGTTCTCTTAGCAGCAAACAAAATTTTAAAGACAACACAAAAGTATACATAATCCAGATTGTGTCTGTGTATTTTCTGTCTTCATGTGTCTACCACCTCCCCCCAACTAAAACCCTACCTATCACATATCCTTTGTGCTCCCCAGGGAGGATGAAGCCTTCCATGGGGTGTCATCAGAGTCTATCATATCCTTTGGGATAGGGCCTAGGTCCACCCCGGTGTGTCTTGGCTCAGGGAGTATCCCTCTATGTGGAATGGGCTTCCAAAGTCCACACCTATGCTAGGGATAAGTACTGATCTACTACAGGA